TAAGAGAAGTTTTAAGAGAAGAGAAGGCAGCCTCTACCGTGGTCCCCCTCCCTCTCTGACTTTGCTCTGAAGTCCACATTCACCCATGCTGTGTGCACATCCACGCTGGGTCATGTGAATGAACTGCTTCTATCAAAGCGGAAGGAACAACTGTAAACATGGTCTCAACTTCTGTTGCATCTGCTTAAAGTTTAGTCTTTAAAGTACAGATATTTCTTAACTAAATTGTTATAAATCTGAAGTTATAGTGTAATGGTTAAGTGTGGGAGGGGGTGTCAAGGTTCTAAAATTAGACCACATGGATTCAAATCCCAGTTTTGTAACATTAACATTGTGCACATATAAAAATAAGTATGTCCATAGGTGGTATGTGGAGGTCTTGAGTGAGTTACGTATCTTCACTGAGTCTCAGTTTTCCTTATCTGCAAAAGGGGGTAATGGTTCCTACAAGGCTGTTTTACCGAGGCTCACTGAATTAAATGAGAGAATGCATAGATAGCACTGAGCACAGTGGTTAGCTGTTGTTAAGTAAGTTAGCACTGAACACAGCCGTCAAAATGCAAGCATTCCAAGAGTGACCTCGGGAAATGACACTGCCCAGAAGAATTGGGCAGAACTGCAGCTGTCCTACACCTGGGCCTTCTATTCTGAATCTTTCCCTCCTCCAGTCCATACTCTCCAGTGTCCACAGCATTTGCTTTCCAAGAAGCAAATCTGATCACGATGCCCCAGTGTCACCGGGTTAAAGCCACTAAGGGTTCCCCTGGGCTCAGGATGGAAGCCACACTCCTCAGCCTGGCTTGTGTGTCCTCCCACAGTGGGGACCCCACTGCCTTTCCACCCGCACTCATGCTGTGCTCCCAGCACGTGGACCTTCACTGCCCCTGCCCCACCCCAGGCATTTGTGCTTGCCTTTTTGTGCAGGAATGCTGACACCTCCTTGGCCCTGCTCTGCGGAGTGTCACCTCCTCAGTGAAGTGCTAGTTCCCAGACACTCGGCTCTTCAGTACTTGGCTACTTGCTAAGAACAATAGCTGGCTAGTCTGCTGTGAGCTATGGAACCAAACTGCCCACGTTTAAATTTTGGCTTCTCCACGTGGCCATCAGCAAGTTTCTCCATCTCTCCCTGCCTTGGTATTTTTAGTGAGATGAGAAAGACATTATTATTGAATTCACAAGATTGTTAATGAGAATTAAATGAGTTAGCATAAGGAAAGCATGTTAGTACGTAGAACCCTGCTTGGCACATAGTAAATGCTCAGTGAATGTTCACTGTGCTAGCAACAATGTTATTATCGTCATTATCATTATTCTTATTCAACCAAAATGTAAGCTCTTTAAAAATAAAGACTGCCTATTTTGTTCACTACCTGACACAAAAGGTGCAGGATGTACAGCTCTTGAGTAACGCATAGAACGCTGCATGTGGTTAATTGTTTATATTGAATGCCCCGGCCCCATTAGCCAGTGGAACACGAGCATCTTGACTAGCCAATCAATCCTGTATTTCCTGCTTCTGCTTAATGGGGAAAGAATAGACCCTCAATAAATGTTTGCTGAATGAATAAATGAATGAACCTCTGAGGTTGCATGTACATGTTATTTCCTTTTAAAACATCAGCTTTAGCTCTAAGTTTATCAAAAAGTCATGCCTTTCCTTCTTTTGAACTGGATATCCAGTGGTTTCTGGAAGATCTCAAAAAACAGACAGTACATGGCTGGGCGCGGTGGCTCACACCTGTAATCCCAGCACTTTGGGAGGCCAAGGCGGGCGGATCACAAGGTCAGGAGATCAAGACCATCCTGGCTAAAACTGTGAAACCTCTTTTCTACTAAAAATACAAAATAATTAGCCGGGCATGGTGGTGGTCGCCTGTAGTCCCAACTACTCGGGAGGCTGAGGCAGGAGAATGGCGTGAACCTGGGAGGCGGAGCTTGCAGTGAGCCGAGATTGCGCCACTGCACTCCAGCCTGGGCGACAGTGCCAGACTCCGTCTCAAAAAAAACAGAAACAAAAAAAACTAGACAGTACATTTGGGGGCTTTATCCCAGAGCTATCTCCAGAGGAGGATAAAGTTCCTCAAGGAGTGTCTGCCCCATGCATTTCCACCCACCAGGAACCCCTTTCCTGCACCTCTCCCCTTCCTGAGCCCCCTGGCTGTCTTCCTCCACCACAGCCAAGGGAACTGGGCCTCATTAGGGGGACAGTTTGTTCCTCATTAGGGGCACCAAGCTTGGCTGGAGAAAAGCCAGTCATCACTTTATCCAAAGCCAGGAAATCTCCCAATGTGGAAGCCTCCTCTCTCCCATTCTGCACCAAGTCCTTCACTCTTGCTACTTCATGGAAAACTTTCTTCTAGAAGGAAGTGAAAAAATTCCCCCAAAATATATCAGCCCTTCTGCTTTAGTTCATCCACCTAAAGTGAAAAAAGAAAACCAGGGAGAGGGGAAATTGTGTATAATGTGAATAAATATAGTCTGTAGACTTTATTGAAGTACTGCTGTTTTGTAAGCCTCTCACTGACCAGAACCACTTATTATTCCAGATGCAGATAGATTTATGATCTGAAATGCTCACCATGTTTTTACCCTGGAGAACTAAAGGGAGAGTGAGTTCCAGCTCAGTGTTTGATAAGATAGCTTACATCATTTTATCCCCATGTCAATGCAGTGAGGCAAGTGAGGTTTATTATCTTCCTGTTATGAATGTGGGCTGTAGAGACTGAGAGATTAAGAGGGTTGTCCTTGGCCAGCCCTAAGTTTGGAAAACACATGTAATTTTATTCTGTCACTACTGAGCCCATCGCTCTCTGCCATCACCCGTGTATAAATGTTGCAGCCCAGAGCGTCCCCTCTGCCATGGCTTGTCCATTGTCTGGCCCCTGCGCTCTCTTCCCTCCCCCAGCTACCCCTGGGCTGCCCAGCCCTGCACCTGCATTTGTGAGGCTGCAGCTCCCCTGGGGGCAGTCTGGCATTCCCAAGCCCTGGCTAGGGACCAGAGGTGTTTAGTTCCCTGGCTTTTTGGTCAAAGACATTCCAGGGAGTTTCAACAAGTAAGAGCTGCCTTTAAACAGCTTCCAGAAGCCCCTGCTGAGCACTCAGAGTGGGAGCGAGCCACGTCCCAGCTCTCCTTTCACCTGCTGCGTTACCCTGGACAGACCACCCAGCCTCCCTTCCCTGTAATGGAAGAGAGGGAGCAGCTTTGAGAATCTGATAGTGCTGTGAACGGTCTCCCCCGAAGACACTTGCACTAAACATCACAGGTATCATTTCAGGAGGGTCACAGTGTCTATCCACTGAGCCCACATGGGTACCCCATAGATCCCCTGCCCCTGGATAAGAATCCCTGGTCCCAGTGAGCTCTAACACCAAAGTGAGAAGCCCCCAAATACAGATTTTTTTAAAGAAAACTTCAGTAGTTTATTTTCTCATTATGAAAGAAAGAAATTTAAAAGGAAAATTACCATAAACCCACTACCAGTAAAATTACTATTAATAATTTAGTAAATATAAATTTTAAAAATTAGTAAATATCAGACAGTCTTTCTGTCTCTCTCACTTTCGACATACATATACATAAATCTACTCATTATACCAGGAGTGTTTTGTCATCTTATTTAAATATCATTTAAATATTATTTGACAATATGGCCGGGCACAATAGCTCGCACCTATAGACCCAGCACAGGGGGAAGCCAAGGCAGAAGAATCACATGAGCCCAGGAGTTCCAGAAAAGCCTGGACAACAAAGTGAGACTCCATCTCTACAAAAAACAAAACAAATAATTAGCCCGGCATGGTCACGTGCACCTGCTGCAGTCTCAGCTACTCAGGAGGCTGAGATGGGTGGATCCCTTGAGCCCAGGAGTTCAAGGCTGCAGTGAGCTATGATCACACCACTACACTCCAACCCAAGTGACAGAGTGAGACCCTGTCACAAAAAATATGAATAAATAAAATTATTTGACAATATAATGCCTACATAGTAACCGATTGCGTGGTAATTCTGCAATGCATTATTTAACTTTCCCTAATTGTTAACCATGTATGTTTTCATTGTTATTATCTGTACAAACATATCTGATTATTTTCTTAGACTAAAAATGGAATAGCCACTTCTATGCAGAAGGAAGCTTTTGATACCTATCACAATTTGCCCCCTGTCTCCTAGAAAGTTTTGCTGATTTGCACTGCCAGTAGCTGTAGGGAGGCAGGGTGGAGGGGACTTAGATCCATGTTCCCAAGCAGCTTCCTTGAACCAGCAACTCAGAATGTTGATACCAAGTGGGGCCTCTGTTTGCTAAAAGCCATCTCAGTCCACAGAAACTGTGTCTAAGACTGGCCTCGCCACATTTTGAAGTGGATAAAACTGGTCTTGGATGCCTTCCTCCCTCCCTCATTCCCACATAGCCACTTGATCTGACTGTAGCCCCTCGCCTCCCAGGTTCAGCAGCAGTTGCTCTGCCCCTACCCCCTGGATTCACAGACGCTACAAGGCTTTTCCCATCCCATCAGCAGGCTATAGACTTTCCATCGACAGCTTTATGAATCTGTTTCATGCACTTATGTGAATGGGTTCAGGGGAGCAGGCTGAATTCAGAGTACAACGGTCCTGAGTCAGCCCAGGCAGAGACTGGCACATCAGACCCAGTGAGGAAGCTGTCACCGGGCAGGGGATAGTGTTCCAGGGCCAGATGAGCAGTGGGAGTCCATGGTCATGCCTGCTCTGTCTCTTATAAAGTTGGTCCTTCAGAATGTTCCTCAAAGAGAAGAACAAGGCCTCTCTGAAAAGATAAATTCATTTCCCTTGAAAATTGGCTAAACAGAGTGTGTTGCAGGGCCATGAGCCCCAGAATGATGGGCAGGATTTCAGCCATTTGCTTGGCAAATTGTGCTGCTCTCTGAGCCTTAAATCTGCATATCGGTGATGGGAGTTTGGGGAGGGAAGACCACACATGGTCCCATCCCGCTGCTGACCGCCTCTCTTTTGGCCTCCGCAGTCTGACGGCTCCATCCTGGCCATCGCCCTGCTGATCCTGTTCCTGCTCCTAGCCCTGGCTCTCCTCTGGTGGTTCTGGCCCCTCTGCTGCACCGTGGTAAGTGCCCCAAACTTCAGGCCATGGAAGGCGAAGGGTGACATAAAGTTCACAGACCATGAGTAGAGAGAAAGGGATTTTTAAAAAACTAAAGACGGGAGACAAATCTTGTGTTTTTTTATACAATTTATACAAAATTGATGTGAACTGACATTGATCAATGGAACCATGAGTCATCAGCAGTCAGTATGAGTTAGGGTGTGAGATTGCCAATGGCCATACCCCTTGGGTGGGGCAACTGGGGTGACTGCTCTAGTTTTGGTGCTTAAGAAAGAGCCACAGGACACCACAAATAATGAGTGTTATCCTACATGTAATGAACATATATGCCTCCGTATGTACAGTACACACACATACACACACACACATTTGTTGAGTTGCCCAACCTATACTCTTCTAAGGCCTCCCTGATCTTAGTAACTAGTCTGCCTATCTGAGAAAGTGCTTCTGGCCTGACCTCTTTATTTTCGACAATAAAGAATGGCACTTACCTCTATTTCATTGATTTTAGCAACTTTTGTAGGACACACATACTGTGTGTCCAGCACTGGGCTAAGCGCTTTGGCTACAAGATCAATAAAAACCTGCCTCCTCCCCATCATTGTCATATGGAGTCACATGACAATGTCTCCCCAAAATAACTTAGGGCCTGGAATAATCCACCCTGACGATAACCCCAAATGGTAAATGTCTGGCTGTCAATTTCTGTTCCCTGGCTTTTAGACTGGGAAAAGTCCAAACAAAGTAACAGCCTAATAAAGAAAAAAAAACATTCCCTGTGACATGTCTATTTCTAGCCTGTGCCATGCCTTTCTGTGAATCCGTGTGTGCTGTGGAGTCCGTGAGTGTGAAGTGGCCACTGCTCCACTGCCATGGCATCTTCATTTCCTGTATTTCAGTTCTTCCATGGAAGAGCCACAGGGTATAATAGACAGTGAGCCTCTCCAGGACAGGGACTCATCTTCATTTTCCCTCTGAAACTTCAGCATTTAGCACACAGTGTGAGGGAGTTCACATCTGTGTGTACAGCTGAATTGAACCAAGGCCATAGACAGAGCACTGGACTTGAAAAGCAAGGGGAAATGGCTTCGGATGACATGTTAAAGAGGTGGCAAATGCATGAGATGAGAGGCTCAACCAAGATGTGGACCATGTGGCAGGGACTTCTGGAAAGGGTTGACTTGCAGCAGACAAGTGTGGAAGGAGAGACCCAGGACAGGCACAAGTCTTGGATTAATTAGTACCCTCCAGGCTGGGCTGGATATCACTGAGATTTTAAACAGATTCTTACCAGAGCAGCTCCAAGCGTTAAATATTGTTTTAAACACTTAAGGCTATACAACCATTTTATTCTGAGGGTAAATATTCCTAATGAGTCAGCCCGAGTCCTTTCCATGGAGATTCAAAAGCAAGCACATTTTCAAGTCCAGAAAAAGAAAAGCAAAACCTTACAGTGGGTTCTTAAAGAAGAGGTGGGCAGGCCTGGTAGCAGCAGGCAGTGAATACTATTATAGTCCCTTTGATTGTTTACAAACAGTTACCTGTGGGTGAGGACAGCTAGGACCATTAGAACAGCCAAGCAGTGCTCCACCGAATACCAGCTGTGTGACCTTGAGCAAGTTTCTTCACCTCTCTCTCAGTTTCCTCATTGGTATAATGAGGACAATAAGAGCTCCCACCTCATAGTTAGATGGTGAAGACTATAAAGGAGTGTATAGATATGTGCTTAGAAAGCACCTAACACACAGTAAGTGCTACAGATTATTATTATTTAAAAGTATTTTACCGTAATAGGAATCTATTATGATACTGTGTGGCATTCCGTTTATATTCTTGGGAAATGTTTTCAAAATAAACCTTTTGTTATTGGAAGCAATGTCACCCAAGGCCAAATAGAGTTTTGCAATATTCAAAATATTTTTCAATGAATTTATCTGGTTAAGTCCCTGTTGCTTTGGAAGGCAGCCAAAATGTCTTAATGTGGTCTGACTTTGTAAGTCTTAAAGGATTTCTTTATGAGGGTTCATCTTAGAGATTCATTTTTCCTGTTTAGGATGTCTATTTAAGGGGCCTCCTCTCCCTCTTTCAGAAAGCTGGCTTGGGCTCCAGTGCTTGGTCTGACCCCTAAAACTACTTGCTGATCACTTGCTTCCTTGATGAGGGGTGATGCTCCGGAGCAGGGCAGGATAAGGTCATGTGTTTCCTGAACAGTGTACTCAGGAGTGAAGGCAAACGTGGGCCTCCCATCAGAGTTTCATTCAGAGGACACGGGGGAGTTTCTCTCCCCTAAGATACAGCAGCCCTCACCACAGTCCCCAGATGAATAGAGGGCATTCTTGTAAACAATGGTCCTCAAACCTTCCTCTGTCACTCTTCCTGCATCTACCCCAAGGGTAGGGAATGCCCCTCAACCTACTAGCAAAGCCACATCTCAGTGCTGGAGCAAAAGCCAGAAAGCAGAAAAGACCTAAAAAACGTGGGGTATAACCTAAAAAATGTCTGCCGTGTGCCTTCTCCTTCCTGCTGCAATCTTTTCTTTAGGAGTGATACTCAAAATATTTAACAACCTGCAAGGCTCCTACCCCCGCTGAGCCATGCTTTAACCCCAGTGGCTGGGTATGTGAAGGGGTGGGGGATGAAGTCCTGCAGGGTGGCTGGGTAAGAGGGCAGGCCCAGTTACTAACTACAAAGAGCAGCTTTAGATGTACTGGCCAGGATGAGCAGACCAGGCACGGGGTTGCTCTCAGGCCTGCCTCTGTTCAGCATCCTCCTGCTTCCTGCTGGTCCTGTCTGGAAGAAGAAACCTGATGGGTAAGGGTGACAGATGATGCCTACCCACTGCACTTGGCCTTTCCCTAAGGACCCCACTCCCCCATTTGGGCTTGTAACGTCCAGCCAAATGGAACCTGAATTAACTTGTTGCCAGCCTGCCAGATGTAATCTACCAGTAATGACTGATGGGGAGAGAGATAACTTACCACATCTTGAATCAAAACCTTTAGTGTTTCCCAGCTTGTTCCTCAGTGTCCCCAGGCGGACCTCCGGCTTTTAAGATTCCTGTACTTACTCATTGGCACAAAACCCCCACCTTGAAGGGGAGAGAGGAATTGGACTATGCACACTGGGCTTATTTACATTTTCAAATAGGTAATTCAAGGGGTTAATATTTTACCAAATAATAATAAAGCCCTGCCTCAGTTCCACAAGGGACATTTCCAGAACCCTTCAAGTCACGCCATGTCCACTCCATCTACTCATAAGTTTGGTCCAATATTATTGAAATCTCAAAATTGAACTTTAAAAAGAGGACGATTAGGAAATCTAAAACAGAAAAGGATCTTTTTTAAAAAAATTGCAATATATTAGAAAAGTAAATGTTATGAATGGCTTGAATGTGTAGGGGGAAAAAGCCATCAATGAATCAATGACATTATGGCACTAAAAAGTCGTAGAAAATGCAGGTATCCCTGAGAGTCTACCCTCACCCCAGCCAAGAGTCAATGCCCTGATGGGAGCCTGCAGCCCAGCTAGGGGGTAAATTTATGTACACAGAGAAAGGCCATCATATCCTGCCTAAATTTCAGCAGGTAGCAAGACACCGGAGGATTCTGATTAGTAATGGGGACTGGCTCCCCCAAATGAGAAATCTGGAGTATAGAAGAAATCCCTGCTGGGGCTCTCAGTTTCCTGACCCCATGTTGACACTCTGATAAACAACGCAATTCCCGATCTCCCCTCTGTCCCTATACCTACACCTTCCCAGTGGTATGTGTTCTCCTCTCCCGCTCCCAAGATACCAGTCACCTCAGAAGAGAGCAGCCCTGCTTGCTGACGGGGCCACTGCACATTTAGGAGGGCTTCAGCACTCATACTTTAGCAAACTGCTAACTTACCTCTGCAGGTAAGAACTCCTCCCAAATTGCAACCGTTTCCCTGGAGTTCCCTGTACTATCTCTGACCCTCTCCTATTCAATAGACAACCTGCTGTTCTAGCTCCATGAGAAAATGGAAGCTGCGCTGTGAGAAATCCTTGCACTCCAGCACCCTCATATGTGCATCCTCCTCCAGCATCCCTCTCCCTCCCTTTCCACTGGTGTTCTTCGTTTCTTCCTTTCTCACTCGGCAAGGGTGGGGAATGCCCCTCAACCTACTAGCAAAGCTGCATCTCAATGCTGGAGGAAAAGCCAGCATCCTTTCCTTTCCACTGGCTTCCTCCCTCTACCTACAAACGTATGCCAGCCACCTTTATCCTTTAAAAAATGTGTCTGTGTTAGTCTGTCCTCATACTGCTACAAAGACATATATATCTGAGATTGGGTAATTTATAAAGAAAAGAGGTTCAATTGGCTCACAGTTCTGCAGGCTGTACAGGACGCATAGTGGCTTCTGCCTCTGGGGAGGCCTCAGGAAGGTTCCAGTCATGGCTGATAGCAAAGGGGAAGTGAGGCATCTCACATTGTGGGAGCAGGAGGAAGAGAAGAATGAGGTGGGAGGTGCTACACACTTTTCAACAACCAGATCTCAGGAAAACTCACACACTGTCACAAGAACAGCACCAAAGGGATGGTGCTAAATCATTCATGAGAAACCTGCCCGCATGATCCAATCACCTGATGGATCAGGTGATGACTGATGGCTACAATCTGCCAATCACCTCCCATTAGGCCTTTCCTCCAACATTGGGGATTACAACTCGAGGGGAGATTTGCGTGGGAACATAGATCCAACCCATGTTAATCTCATGCCTTATTTCTCCTTCATGCTACTCTCTTCTCCCTCCCCTTCCTTTCACCCACACACTCCTTTGCAGAGCATCCACTGTCCACAATTCCTCTCATTCCCTCTTCCTCCCACTGCACCCTGAGCACCATTGCCATTATTTCTCCAATCCTTCACTTGCAAAACGTAATTTCCCAGCCACTGGTCTCCATTCATTTCTCATTTTTCTTTACCTCTTTCAGCAGTAGGCATTGTCGACCTCCTTCTCCTTTAAACTGCCT